CTTGACCCCGATATAGATCGTATAGGGCAAAAACAAGGTACTAACAACCCGGATGTGAAACCATTTCGGGATTTTATCGATGAGTTTGATCTTGTCGATAAGTACCGGAATGAACTTCCTCGGGAGGTAGCATGGACTTGGGCAAATAGTGGCAACTCGGCTCCTAGGACGCTTGCGAGCTACCTCGAACGAGTCCTAATAAGGAGAGTCGAAGTAGGGCTCTTAGGGTGTCCAAGTTTCCATTACATAGTTTATACGGATCTTAGGCTTGTCCGGGTCCGTGTAAATTTAGATAAGCCCAAGGTTAGATTGGCTTGCTACTGGAAATTTAACTGTTGACTATTTAGCGAGCAGGGTTTCCGAGACCAGCTGGGAATTGACGGGGGTGGTTGTGGGAAACGCCTGGTGGGATAAATTAAAATCTAAAATCAGAACGTTTGCTGCCGATTTTAGTCGTCGACTCAATCTAGATAGATTAGCGGCGCAAACGGCTTTAGAAAATAAAGTTGATCGGGCAGTGAAATCCCGTGTTAGCGGGGAAATAGCCTTAGCTAAGGCAGGGTTGCTTATCAAGAAGGATCAAGCTCTGGTAGTTAGGGCTAGGTTAAAAAGAATGTCTTCTGAGGTGACGAATAATAGCTGCTGAATTGCGTGCAGAGGAGAATCGGAACGCGGCTAGGCGAAATATAGCGTGCGTCACATTGCCGGATAAGCGGACCGTGACTACAAACGCGGGCATATGCGAGGCCTTTCGAGATTACTTGCAGGATCTTTTCACCAGGGAGCCCGGTCTGAGCTCTGCTCAGTTCGACGCTTATTTAGCCGACTTTCCCTGCCTCTAGGCAGATGAAGCGGCTAGGTTTGAGGGTCCCATTACAGAGTCGGAAATGTGGGATGCGCTGAAGCAGGTTGGCCTGGATAAATCTCCGGGACTGGATGGTCTTCCCTACGAAGTTTACTTGAGGCTGTCGCCCGTTTTTGTACCTTTGCTGGAACTGATTTTCAACCGCTTCACCAGGGGTGTGATCAAGTTGCTGCGTAAGGACAAGAACGGTATGGATGGGTTAGAGAATTTTCGCCCTTTAACCATGTTAAACACTGAGTTATAGATTTTGGCGAAGATCTTAGCCAACCGTTTGCAGCTTGTCCTGTCTAGTCTGATTGGCCCCGAACAGACTTGTGCTGTGAAGGGCAGGACTATTCAGGATAACCTTCATATGATACGCTTGATCTTAGAAAAAGTCGACAGTGAAGCCACGCTGATCCATTTAGATCAGTCCAAGGCCTTCGATAGGGTTGACCATCGGAGGCTGTCCTTTCGGCGGCCCGTTTCGGAGCCGACTTTTGCTCCTACTTCCGACTTTTGTATGCGACCCCCGGGGCGCTGGTGGAGGTGAATGGGGTAAGATCGAAGCCTTTCGTATTGTCCCGCTCCATTCGTCAAGGTTGTCCACTCTCGCCTTTGCTTTACGTTTTTGCGTTGGAACCATTCCTTCGCAAGTTAAAGGTGAATCCGGTCCTGCGCGGAATTGCCCTGTTTGGGGCTACCACCTCAGCCAGGTATTCTGCCTATGCTGACGACGTTTTCAGTTCTTGTGTCGAGCACACATTACTCAGCAACAGGAAGAAATAAATCCATTATTTCGTTTTCTCCTACTTCGGTCTTGGTATTTCTTAATTTTTTTTACTCTTGCAAATACCGAAAAAGTTCTGATGTATGTCTCTACGTGTTGTGGATCTTTCAGCGAATTCAAGGATCCTATCGGCGACGACATAGTTATGGCGTGTATTTCTCTCTGAATAGTATCAGTCGAATCACAGTTCTCCACGTTTCATTTCGGGTTCTCTGACTAATGCTTCTTGTTCACCCTCTGCTCTCTATATTTATGTTGACATTCTCATTTGCATATGATACTACTACAAATTATTTTTATTTCCTGGGTGAGTTTCGGTTGATTTTGCAATGAATTTCGATTATTCCCAAATGTATGTCCCATTTATAAAAATTATTATCGTACAAGAAATTCATCGCCAAAAATCACGTAAAAAATCGCCGAAAATAATCTCAGTAATAAAAATTTAAGAATCGAAAATTTCTGTAACATAAGCTATTGAAAGTTAGTGAGTTGTGTCCCTTTAATTGAAAAATTGACACATTAACATTAAAATTGTTATCGGTCAAAAAAATTCGTGGCAAAATATCACATAAAAAATCGCCGAAAACAATCGCAGTAATGTAAACTTGGGTATGTGACACAGTCACACACTACGATTCGCATTTATTATATAGATTATTATACAGTCAGATTTTATATGATAATGTATGTTTTTTTTCTCTCTAAAATTATACAGATTCTCTGAGTATGTATATATATATATATATATATATATATATATATATATATATATATATTCATACATTCATGGCTTTTCACACAATCAACTCTTGCTCCCACTCTCTGTAACCCCTTGCGTGCTAATGGTACTCCAGACTTGCTTGGGAGGAAATGCTTTAAAAAAAGACCTCTGATCGGGAGTTTTTGAAAATTGTGGAACCAACTCATAATTGCTGTTCTTACCAGGTTTACCCCGAACACGGGTGGTAGAACCTGTTATTATCCCATCTATGGGCAAATATTTAACACCAAAATGGGGTCAAATCATTATGAAATATATAAATAGATGTTTATAGTGAAGATCCCAGCAATATATTTGACTCTTGACAAAAACCATCTTTAAAAAAAATACGATAATGAAACCTGAGCTCCTGATTCTTATAGAGGATACATATTATATTTATTAAAAAAAAAGCTATGATATTTACTGCAACGTTTAAAAATATGTAAGGCAGTTTGATAAATAAAGGACATCTATTATTATTTACGTTCTGAAGATACATGGCATTTTAAAAATATATCTCGATCTCATAGAAAGTTTCAAGTAAATACCCCTGATAACACTGAATGTGTTAAGTAGACTCCAATGTTTTTCGACGATATAAATAGGCCATTTTCATATTCTCGTTATCACGATAAAGGAAATATTTTTTCTCTCTTATTCATAGGAATAGAGAACGGCAGAAATAAAGAATATGATGTTCCAAAAAAAAATGTCAGGCAAGAAGTAAGAAAGTACGGGAGATTAAAGAACAGGTAGGAATGAAAAGCAAATAAACAAACGCAGGATCCAATAAAACGCGGGAAAAGTGGAAGTTAGCGCAAACCTCAGAGAAGAGGTTATTAATCTCCCCTCATTGGAACAGCGTCTGAGTCACGTGCGAACGCCACCGACTTGATACAAATCCCTTCGTATGATCCGCTTCTCTACGTGAGTTAGTGTCATCTTGAAAAGAAGGAAAAATATAATAATAAAGAATAAAACAAAAACAAGACTAAAACAAGATTTATGTAATAATCAGGGAGAGAAACGGTAAAGAAAATCACCGATCAGTATTGACAAGACGAGATCGCATGATCGGATTTTTCGCTTATTCTTTACTGCATTGGCAGCCTTGAGTCGAACCTTCGCTGAAACGCTTTCGCAGAAGACCATCTACGTTGCTTTATCAGTTAGCGTTTCCCAACAAGCAATCATTTATTTACTCCAGAATAATTTCGTTTAACATACATTTATTTCTATCTGAGTAGACACCTAAAAAATGTTGTCGTTTTCAGTGTTCTTCATCATTATTATTATTGTTTTATTTCTTTTGGTGTGTAATCATTTCTTTCCGGGTCCCAACCCGAGACCTAAGGTCAGAAATGTCATCACGACATTTTCACTGAGCAATTAAAAAAACCCCAAAAAACAACATATTTTACATAGATAAAGCCCTTCGTAAGGTCCGGGCTGTTATTATTATTATTATTATTATTATTATTTTCTTTGATTTCTGGCGTTTACACATTTCTTTCCGGGTCCCGCCCAGGGACCTAACGTTAGAAATGGCGTCATGACACTTTCCACTGACAAAAAAAGAAAAAAAAAAAAGAAAAAATTACATAGATAAAGCCCCTCGTAAGGTGTGGGCTGTACTTGTCAGAACAATTTTTTGTATCTCCTTGAGGCATGGACTTCCAGGAATAGCTTCAATTAGTCTACTGCAATCTTTTACAACCAGTCATAGGGCTCCAACTACAACAGGGATTGTTGCTGTTCCCATATGCCACATTATTATTATTATTATTATTATTATTATTATTATTATTATTCCTTTGATTTCTGATGTGTAATTTTTTCTTTCTGGGTCAAAATGAGAGACCTAAAGTCAGAAATAGCATCATAATATTTTTTTATTTAGCATTTTTGAAAAAAAAAGAACATCGCACATATTTACATAGATAAATCCCTTCGTAATGTGCATAACTTTAAGGGATGGGATACCAGGGATTCCTATTATTATTATTATTATATTTCGATTCTAAGGTCAAACTACCTACCAAATCTGCAGAAAGACTTATGGCAGGTAATGGTGTGTTGTTATGGCAACATTTCATGATTTGTTTTTCTAAACCCCATAACATCACCACCGCTACATGGACAAAGCTCTTCTTAGTCTGTGGCCTGTAATTATCAAGATAATTTTTTGTATTTATCTTAAGCTGGGATTTTCAGGGATTTCTTTAATGTGTTGCTGTGTTCCTTTTTTATCATTCCAAGCGCACCAACTATGGCTGGTACTATTCTTCTTTTCAATTTCCACGTTTTTTCTATTTCCATTTCCAGGTCTTTATACTTCGATAGTTTTACAAATTTCTTGATTGCTATGACACAGTCCGCTGGGCAAACCATATCAATTAGTGGGCAATATTTTTCTTTTTGGTTTTTGACAATTATGTCCGGCTTTTTTTCTTCAAGCTTCTTGTTTGTAAAGATGGTGTGATCCCATAGAATTGTGATATTTCCTATTTTAGCAGAATGTCCGTCCCATGGACAAGGAAATGTAAGTTATAACAGTCTTCTTACCGCCATACGATTTCATTATAACAACCATTTTCAGTATGTCGTGTAAGGATGAGCGGTGCGGTGTGGCACCATGGATAGCGATTTAGGAATCGGAGAGCCGATTTCGAATTCCAGTCTGTTTCGTTAGCTTCACTTACAAGCCCAAACATTTGGGAAAGGTGTGAATCCATTACATTTTTTTTCTCAACCGATTCACCCCAAGACAGGAGATTACACCACTAAAACGAAAGTAGCTTCTGGGAATTAAAGATGATAGGAAAACATTAGAAGAGACCGGAAACCCAATCTTCAAAAGGAAACAAGGAATAAATCTCTATACCTGTTGATAAAAACAGGGGAAGAGTATTATCTGCGTCTGTTTGTTGAATAGCAGGACAGACTAAGTCCTATAGTCTTGGTTTCCAAACAGTCTACCCAAGAAAGAAATATCAACCTATAGCAGCAAAATCTTCTACCGTGTCATGAATCGAAAGTGACATGATCACCCTTAAGTGTATAAAGTATGACACTTACTTGACTGACTCTTTTTTCTAAAATTGCATTTTTCATCATGCCATCTTCACATTGGACATGGTTATACAGTGATGAGCATGAAATAAACAAGTGAATAAATGTCTGTCATAAAGTAATAATAAAGTAATTCAGCAAATTAACTATTATTACTTTCATTACTTTAAATAATTCTGTTGAATTTTAATAAAATTAGATTTATTTAGATAATTCCAGAAAAATGTATTTTCGACGACAATGTATTTGATGTATTTTTCGTAAAATAAAATGTCAGACAACAACAATGGTTGGTACGAACGGTGAAGGAAAGAAGATTGTAAATGAAGCAGTTAGGCGTAAATTATTGATTTCCATAAAGAATTAAGAATTTAACATTTATCAAGAGAAACTTTGCTTATATATGGCCAATTTGAAAAATTGAATGTAAAATAACACATTGAATTATCTATTAAAATTTTCTTTTTCAAGTGTCATTCTAATTAAATATCACCCATTTATGTTGTAATCGCAGTTTGTCAGCAATATATATAAAAGGCTGATAGTAATTACTGTACATGTTGATAAGTGTTCCTGTGAGCTCCTGAAGACGAGTTGGGTATATACAGACTAAAATTATCCTTAGGCGGATATTAAAACGATTATTATTATTATTATTATTTATTTTGGGATATTCTCCGTGTCTTCGACAATCCGTTCGGGTTTAACAGTACCATTTCTCACACATTCTTAGGAAATGAAGAGATATTTTTTTTTCAGCAAATTTAATGATCAAGGTTTCTCAGGAATCTTTTCTCAAGCCCACCTTTGACTAAATTTAATGACCAGGAATTTTCAGAAAATTCTATCTCCAGCCAACCTTTGAATTGGCAAATATAACATTTTGTTAGTGATTTTAGATAGCCTTAAATTAGGGTCCTTTGAAAAAAATGTAACATAAAAATATCTGTGGACCTCATCTCCGGTTGGTGAGACAGAAGTGGACGGAAAAGGGTGGTGTGTCCACCAGCCAGTATCCGTATAATAAGTATTCAGCGAAAGGAACAGGCGGTGAGTCGATGTGGTATATTGGCATACAGCCGAACTTGAATGTCATCACAGCTTGTGCAGTGACGTGCGGAATCGCATCATCAAACGGATGATACTGGTCATTTCTCAGTTCATACCTTTTTAGATACAAAACAATTCCCATAACACATCTCGCATGTTGACGTCTCTTCCCGTTCCTTGCTTCCAGGCCATATACGTTCTTTAAAATTTTAAACGCAACGTCAAACAACATATTGTGTCTCCCTGAAACTGTTCTTTTATTGAACGAAAGTTTCTTTATCCGCTTTCACTTACAGTTACCCATTTGCGTGTAGTGGCATTATCACCTTGAAGCGATTAAAAAAGATGAACTGTTCCAAGCAGTGGTACCATTTGCGAACTGAGGCGCAAAAGAGGCCCCGAGTCGTGTAATACATATCTGAAGAAGCTAGTTACAACCGGGTTGTCCCCTTTAGCAGCAGAACAGCTTGGCATGTCCAGATACGAGCCTCTCTGTAACATGCCCACGTCTGGGTATTTCGCAGCTGCCTCAGATCAATAAAAGCGACGGGAAAACCCGCAGTTGGTGTGACAATCTTTTCTATTGTCAGAGATTCGTTCCTTTGGCGCATTTTGTTCCTAAAATTGCGTACCACCAGACGAACTCTGCTTTCTGAGTCAGCGGTGTCGATAGTCATTACTCAGTTTTAGTTTATTTCCTTCCGTCTATTTTCTTTCTCTGTCAGTTCCCCGCTTAATTGTTAATAGAACAATCGGTTCAGTGTTTCCCCCGACTTCGACATTCACTTGCGTTATATTTCAATACATTCCCAAGGATGTCAGGCGTCCCCAAAGCGTCTTGCGTGTTTGAGATTTTCTTGGAGATACGCTAAAGTGTGCCAACCCAAAACGAGACAACTTCAGCTGTTGCATGGTACACGTCACTGATTTGCAATGCCAAGTCTTGGCACGTCTGCATTTTCGCCTTTTCCGTATTCAATACGTTTTCATCCCAAGGTGACGCAACGTCTATCAGGATCCATTCATGGATGATTTTCATTATTATTATTATTATTATTATTATTATTATTATTATTATCTAATTCCGAAGAGTACACAAAGATAAACAAATGAATGAGGTGCCGAAACTAGAATAGTTGACGTTCAGATTCTTTTCTGGGTCAGGTCAGAGTTGATCTCAGGTCAGTTAAATTGGCAGCTGGCCTTGCCTGACCTTTCTATCAGATTCTGTGAGTTGGAATACTCAAGCAATTGAAATTTGTCATCAAAAGTTCCGTCTATTTTTTTTTTTTTATTCCTGAACGATCTTTCGTTTTACTTCTCACTTTTTTCTCTGTTTCTGTTTTTTTTTCTTTTCCTTTTTTTAAAAATTTTCTTTTATTTCCCTTCATTCTGCTATCTTATTCTCGTTCTATATTTCTTTCACTTCCCGACTGTTTCGTCTTCTTTCACTTGTACCCCAATTCGTTTTTCTTCTTTATTTTCATTTTTTATCTTCTCTTTTCTTTTTTTTCCATCTAGATTTTCCTTTTTATTTATTCTTCTCCGCCATTTTTTTTTTACTTTCGTTTTTCGTTTCATCTTCTATATTTTCGATCTTCTTCATTTTTTTTTTCCATTTCTTCTCACTTCTTGCTTCCATCCACTTTTCGTTCTTTTTTCATCTTCTGTTTCATACTTTTACACTTCCTTTTATAATATTAATTATCTCCATCGGTATTTTTTTCATTCTTCCCTTTCCTTCTATATCTGTTCGTTCCTTTTGTCCATCTCTTTCTATTTTCTTTTTCTTCTTCTCCATTCCATTTCAGGTCCTTCTTTTTCTATATATTCGTTCGCCCATTCTCCATTGTTATTATTCTTCATTTTCCTTCGATTTATACATTTTTTTCCACTTCTTTTTTTATTCTTGCTCATTGCCTTCTGATTTAGCTATTCGCTTTCTCCTTCTCTATTTATCTTCTTCAATTTCTGCTCTTTCTATTGTTCAATCTGCCCTATTTTCTTTTTCATCTTTATTCATTTTCACTTGTTCCTTTCTTTAGAGATTTTTTCGTCTATTATTATTCTTCACTTTCCTTCTGTTTCTGCTCCTTTCTTTGTTCCATCAACATTTCTTTCTTTTTTTATTTTCTTCATTCTTTTCTTTCCTCTATTTTTACCCTTCTTCACTTTACATCTGTTTCTGCTCTTTTTTGTTCCATCAATATTTCTTTCGTTTTTCCCTCCCTTCTTTTTCTTCATATTCGTTCTCTCTTTCTGTCTATTTTACCCTCTCCATTTTTACGACTCTTTGATTCATCCGCTTTCTTTCTTTTTCCAACTCCTTCATTTTTCAGATTCCCCCCTCTTCTTTTCATTCTTCATCACTTTCCTTTTATTCCAACTCTTCCCTATATTCAAACTTCCTTTCTTTCTTATTTGATCTCTTCCTTCCTTCTTTTCCAACCCCCTTTGCTAAATTATCTTTCTTTCCTTCTATATTTTCTATTACTCTTACCTTCATTGGTCTTTCCTCCTATTTTTATTCTCTTTTGTTTTTCTCAAAGACATGCGAGCATATAAGGCGCACTCCTACATCAATAGCCTACATTCAGTATTTAAAAAAAAAATTAAGTATATAATGTTTAAAGCAAATTATCAGTACATTACAAAACAGGACAAAAGCACTTTAGCGATAGCACAAAATTACTGAATAAATATATGCATTATTATTTATATTTCCTTTGCTTTCTGGCGTGTACTCATTTCTTTCCGGATCCCAACCAGAGACCTAAGGTCAGAAATGGCATCATGATATTTTTCATTGAGCAGTTTTGAAAAAAACAAAGGAAAAATATTACACACATTTTACACAGATACAGTTCTTCGTAAGGTCTGGGTTGTGAGAAACAATTTTTTTTTGTATTTTTTAAGGAATAGACCAACAGGAATCACTTTATTAAGTTTAATGGAATCATTTCCAATCACTCCGAAGGCACCAAATATAACTGGAACTCTAGATGTCCTCATGTGTTATTATTATTATTATTATTATTTCCTTTGATTTCTGGCGTTTACACATTTCTTTCCGGGTCCCGTCCAGGGACCTAAGTTTAGAAATGGCGTTATGACACTTTCCAAAAAAAAAAAAATTAAATTACATAGATAAAGCCCTTCGTAAGGTGTGGGCTGTACTTGTCAGAACAATTTTTTGTATCTCCTTGAGGCATGGACTTCCAAGAATCCCTACAATTTGTCTACTGCAATCTTTTCCAACCAGTCCTAGGGCTCCAACTACAACAGGGATTGTTGATGTTCCCATATGCCACATTTTCGAGATTTCGATTTCAAGGTCCTTGTACTTTGACAACCTTTTGAATATCTTCAAAGATACATTGCAGTCAGCAGGGACTGCCATATCAATAAAGAGGCATCGTTTTTGTTTGTGGTCTTTAATAACAATATCTCGCCGGTTGGCCTTGATTGTTCTGTCAGTGTGTATTGTGTAATCCCATAGAATTGTAACAGGTCCTATCTCCGTAACCGGGTCTGGGTGGTGTTCATACCATTTTCTTTCAGTTTCTTTCCCGTAGAAGTTTCAGATTTTCCAGTGCAGATATTGGCCCACTCTGTCATGTCGGGTTTTATATTCAGTGGGTGCCAACACCGTACAACCTGATACAAGATGATCAATCGTTTCTGGATATTTATCACAGAATCTGCATTTTGGGCTGACACAATATTTTAGTATATGTGCTTGATAATTCCTAGTTAGCAAGCATTGGCCCTGCGCAGCAAGGATAAAACCTTCAGTTTCCGCTTTCACTCCTGCACTACGTAGCCATAGATGGGTACGGGTTTTGTCTACGTCAGCTTGTTTGGTACGGGCAGAATATTGGCCATGAAGCGGTTTATCTTGCCATCGCTTCTGTATCTGGTCGGTTGCATTCGTCTTTGCTGTCTTTTTTAGGTATTTTGCAGTTTCAACCGGTGTAATCCCATCTCTACGCCCATTTGAAAATACATTTTGAATTTGTTGGCTTCTTTCATTACGGAGTAAAGACGCTTACTACTTTCATGTTCCTTGACGCATACCATCATCCAGTCTTCTGTAGTTTCCAGATATCTTTGGAGGCCAATTGTTGTAGTTTTGTAGGACAGTTCTAGTTGAACTAATCCCCTGCCTCCTTCGCATCTGGGCACATACAGATGATCGACATCAGCTTTGGGATGATGCATGCGATAGCAAGTGAGAAGCGTTCTCGTTTTGTCATCCATTCGCTTAATTTCAGCTATGGTCCAGTTAAGGACATTAAAGCTGTATTGCACCACAGGGGCAGCCAATGTGTTTATGGCTGATATCCTATTTTTTGAGTTTAGCTCAGTATTTAGTACCATACGTACACGCCTGTAAATTGTGGTTATTATTATTATTATTATTATTATTATTATTGTTGTTGTTATTATTATTATCATTATTATTGTGGTTATTATTATTATTATTATTATTATTGTGGTTGTTATTATTATTAATATTGTGGTTGTTATTCTTCTTCTCATTATTATTATTATTATTATTGCGGTTGTTATTATCATTATTGCAGTTGTTGTTATTATTATTAATATTTTCATTATTATTATTATTATTGTGGTTATCATTATTATTATTATTGTGGTTGTTATTATTATTATTATCATCATTATTATTATTATTGTTGTTGTCATTATTATTACTATCGTCATCATTATGATTATTATTATTGTGGTTATTATTATTATTATTATTGTACTTATTATTATTATTGTTGTTGTGGTTATTATTATTAATAATAATAATGTCGTTGTTGTTGTTTTATTTCCTTTGGTTTCTGGTGTAGACTCATTTCTTTTAGGATCCCGACCAGAGTCCTAAGATCCGGAATGGCATGATAACATTTTCCACTGTGCAGTTTTGGAAAAAATCGCACATGTTTTACATAGGTAAAGCCCTTTGTAAGGTGTGGGTTATAATTGTGAATACATTCTTTTGTATTTATTTAAAGCATGGGCTACTAGGGATTCTTTCAATGAGTCTAATGAAATATTTTCCAAGCAATCCGATGGCTCCAACTACTACTGGAATTCTTAATGTCCTCATGCTTTACATTTTTGAGATTTCGATTTCAAGGTCCTTGTATTTTGATAGTTTTTTTTAAGATGTTCCTAGAAACATTGCAGTCTGCATTGAATGACATGTCAATAAGGAGACACATTTTGTCTTTTCGTTCTCTCATCCCAATGCCAGAGTGATCCACTTTGATTGTTCTGTCCGTCTGTATTGCAAAGTCCCAGAAAATTATTACAGGACCTATTTCTGTAACCGGGTGTGAGTAGTGTGCATGCTAATTTCTTTGCTTTCCTTTGCATACGTGTTGCAGATTTTACAGTGCAGACATTTGCCCACTCTGTCGTGTTTTATATTCAATGGATGTCAATTCCGTGCAACCTGATACAAGATGGTCAATTGTTTTTGAATATTTATCACAGAATGTTTCATTTTGGATTAACACAATTTTTCACTATGTGTGCTTGATAATTTCTAAGGTGCTGTGCAGAAAGAATAAAACCTCCGGCTTCAGATTTTAATCCTGCATTGCGTAGCCACTGTTTGTTACGGGTGTCGGTCTAGATCAACTTGTTTGGTACAGGCAGAGTTATTGACCGTGAAGAGGTTTATCTTGGAGTCGTTTCTGTATTTGATCGGGTGCATTTGCATGTGTTTATTTTTTTAAGTATTTTGCAGTTGCAGTCGGTGTATTATGCTTAACTTGTATTTCTCCACCCATTTGAAACTATTATTATTATTATTATTATTATTGAAAACATTATTTTAGTGGATACGGAATTATGAGTAGATGTCACATGTATTTAACACTAGGATTTACTTCTATCAGCCACTGTATTCGAGAGGCTTAATAAAAAATATGTGCCTCCCACAGAGCTCGAATCTATGACCCCTTTGTGGGAGAAATTGGTTCCATGTTATTCTGACCGAAAGGTTCACAGGGAACGCAGGTTCCGTGAAAATAACGCATGAAAATGCATGACGGAAGAAGAAGAAAAAGAAAATGTTAAGAGAACGAAAGAAGGAAAACGAAGGATAACAAAGTGAAACTAAAGAATGAAAGAGAAACAAAGAAAAAAAGGGAATTTGAAAGAGAATGAAGGTAGAAAGAAAGAAAGAAAGTAAAGAGAGAAAAGAACGACGAAAGGAAAAGAAAAAAAACAAAAAATTAACAGAATTTTAGAGAAAGAAAATAAATATTGTGGAAATCAAGAAAGAAAGAAGAAAAGAGTGTATAAAATAAAAGAAGAAAGAAAAAGAGGAAAATGACGAAGTAAAAAATTAACAGAAATATAATAAAATACATGAAAAGCAGAAAGAAAGGGTCAAAAAAGAAAGAAAAAAAAGATAGACGGACCAAAAGAAAGAAAGATAGAAAGAATGAAGGACAAATAAGAAAGACATGAAGAAAGACATAAAGAAAGAAATACAGGCAGAATAAAAGAAGGGTCAAAAGAAAGAAAGAAAGAAAGAAAGAAAGAATATTATTAATGTGGTTATTATTATTATTATTATCATTATTATTATTGTTCTGTTATTATTAACATTATTATTATTACTGTATTATTCCCACTCGTTCTCTTTCCTTTTTCACAACATTCTCTATAAAGAAAGAAAGACGAACTAAAAGAAAGAAAAATAAAAAAGAATGAAGGTCAAATAAGAAAGACATAAAGATATAAAAAAGAAAGAAAGGCAGAGTAAAAGAAGGCTCAAAAAAGAGAAAAAGAAAAAGAAAAAGAAAAAAAAAGAAAGAAAGAAAGAAAGACGAACCAAAAGAAAGAAAAAAAAAGAGTGATGGTCAAATAAGAAAGACATAAAGATATAAAAAAGAAAGAAAGTCAAAGTAAAAGAAGGCTCAAAAAAGAAAAAAAGAAAGAGAAAAAAAGAAAGAAAGACGAACTAAAAGAAATAAAAATAAAAAAGAATGAAGGTCAAATAAGAAAGACATAAAGATATAAAAAAGAAAGAAAGACAGAATAAAAGACGGATCAAAAAAGAAAGAAAGAAAGGAAGAAAGAAAAAAAGACTAACCAAAAGAAAGAAAAATAAAAAAAGAATGAAGGTCAAATAAGAAAGACATAAAGATATAAAAAAAGAAAGAAAGACAGAATAAAAGACGGATCAAAAAAGAAAGAAAGAAAGAAAGAAAGAAAGAAAAAAAGACTAACCAAAAGAAAGAAAAATAAAAAAAGAATGAAGGTCAAATAAGAAAGACATAAAGATATAAAAAAGAAAGAAAGACAGAATAAAAGACGGATCAAAAAAGAAAGAAAGAAAGAATGATTATAAAAGACAAATGGAAGAATGAGATAAAAAGAACGAAAGATTTAAAAAAA